TTTCCTCTAGTCTTACACTGCTAAATTAGGGACGGCTAGCGCAGATAACCCTCGTGTAGATTTGCGCAAAATCCATAACAAACAAATAATCAAGTTTTCTAGAATTTGTTCTTGTTTAAGTTACCTACATTTACATTGTATCTCTATAAAGGTTGCTCTTTTTTTATATATTGGCTCTCTCTCTTTTTTTATCATCATTGTATGGCTGACTCCTTTCTATTAACTTGTTTTCTTTTGAAACAAAACACTGAAAAGTGTTTTGATCAGTTATCACTTTTTTTTTATTAATATTTTAAGATCAATAAAAAATAAAAATCAACCCGAAGTGTGATTCAACCGAATCTGCTTTGGTAAGCTATTAACACAGATGTAGCGTTTTGACAACTACGCTATTCTCTCATTTTACATTTTACACCTTAATTAAGTCATCGGTTGTTTTTAACCTAGTAGCTCTGTTGAGAAATTCACTATTAAAATAATCAACTACTATTTTAATTAAAAGAAATGTTAGTATACATGCTACATTTATTAGCAATCCCTAGTTAAATGATAATATATATGCTACAGTTACCAAAAGTCTCTAATTCAAATTAATGTCTACCAGTGAAGTTTTGGTTCGTTTCGTTTCTTCTATCTATACTGTTTGTTTTACCTTTTCAACAATGAGAACAAAAACAGTTTTACTACTTTTAGACTGATTATTTCTCTTAATCTATAACAGCTATAAAGTTGACATTTCAATATGATGTAAGAGTGTTTAGTTCTGTTAAAAACATAAGAATAAAAATATGCTATCCAGAATTTCAAACAGATGTGACAATAGCCCCACATTTGGCTAAACGTTTTGTCTTCTATATTAGAATCATGGCAGTGTTACTCCATATTTCTAACATGGCCGGAATCACTACCCTGACTTTTGATCTGAATTATTAATTAATAAATTCCTATTCCATAAATATTCAAGACTTTTCAGCATTTTATAATTCGATCATTTTACAGAATTTAAATGTCAAAGTATGCTGTTAAAAATTTTAATTCTCCCAACAGGTTATGACCATGACTCCGATGAAACTTGCCTCCAGTTACACGCCACGCCTTCGTCTACACAGAGTTATTGTACTGCTGGGAAAGTATTGGTTAGAAGTCATTCACCAGATCAGGGAGTTATGTTGTTTCCTGAATCCACGTACAGGAGTCCTACCCAGAAAACAGATACCATAGCTTTACAGAAGCTATCTTCACCTCGTGTACGTGTTTTATTGCTAATTTTGGAACTGGTTACCAACATACTTTAGAAAATATGTAAAGAAATTACAGTTATTTCCTTTAAAGAAAGACTTCATCGTATTTGAATAATGACATTTGTGTTGTATGTGGCTACGAAACGTTATTATTGAAATATAATATTTTAAGTTTCGTTAGAAAAGTATAAAATCGTAATGTATGGTCGTGTTGAATAAAAATCTGCCTAATTATTTAGGGCTATCAACGAAAGAACAGTTAATCTCTACAGCTTATCTTCGCTGTTTTAGCTTACCACGAAGACTTTTAATTAAGATTTAGCTAACTAAATGCATGTGTTGGAAAGGTTTACTCTAATAATAAGGATGGTGAAAATATGCTTTATCCTACAGTTTAAACTGTAAAGAATAATAGTTCTAATGATACGCATTTACTCATCTATAGGGCAGGCCAAAAGAAAACATCACGTAGATAGTTTTCTTTTGCTAGTACAAACCATGCTTATTTGATGTGACTGGCAAGTAGCGCTTTCCAGTGCTAATCTATTACTAAATTTTCTACTATCTGTTCGGTCACCTAATATCTTCCTTCTCCCCCCCCCCGTCAGTGGCTCAGCGGTAAGGCTGAATGAAGTCTTACAGTGCTAAAAACAGAGTTTCTATACCCCTTGTGGGCACAGCACAGATAGTCCATTGTGTATCTTTGCGTTTATCTACAATCAAACTACTCCATGGATTGGTCGATATGTATTATCTTCAAGCAATTTATTAAAGTGAAATTACTGTTTCAGATCACAGAAACTAAAAACGTTTTACCAAGAAATGGGAGCATTTGTCATTGATAGAAACATGAATTTAACTTACTACGTACAAAAAGTAAGGTTTGCATGTGTTACAAGCACGTTTCGTTTAGGCGGAGTCTCCTTACTTAGTTAGTTGTTGTAGAAAAAAAAATAGAATAATGCACAGGAATATTTCATTGCGAAAACATTTTTACTCTGAATGGGGAGTAGTTTCTTTACTCTGAAGTAGTAGCTTCTTTACTCTGAAGTAGTAGTTTCTTTACTCTGAAGTAGTAGTTTCTTTACTCTGAAGTAGTAGTTTCTTTACTCTGGAGTACTAGTTTCTTTACTCTGAAGTAGTAGTTTCTTTACTCTGAAGTGGTAGTTTCTTTACTCTGAAGTGGTAGTTTCTTTACTCTGAAGTGGTAGTTTCTTTACTCTGGAGTACTAGTTTCTTTACTCTGGAGTAGTTTCTTTTCAGTTACGCTTAAATTACTTATTACATTATAAACAGCCAAAAGACCAGAGACAAAGGAACGCAATAGCTCCAGGAACGAGCCGGCATGCCGTAATCGAAGACAACAAATTGGACCCTTCTTCACAAGATCATCAGGTTGGTGTCACAGACGTGTCTACGAAAACAGCTAAGAGTGTGTTGATTAAAAAACAAGAAAGTGCCGTATAATCTCGTGAGAAACCTTTCCGGTAAGTGAACAAAGAAACTCTAGTTTTTTATTTAGAACTTAACTATAAATGTAACCAGTTTGAAAGCGTCATTAAAAAAATTATTTAGACCTGTCACAATAATGTCTTTGACCACAGTGGTTGCAAACATAAAATGTATTAAAATGTATTAAATAAATACAATTTTTGTCCAAGTAAACAATTCATGCATAAAATTTTTAAATCGTAGGATAATATTTTAGTACCAAACAATTCTTTATTTGCAGAAAACTGAATATGTATGACTGGTTTTATACGAAAAGATATAATTATTGGCAGATAACTTAACATGTGTTACAGTTTTTACTCGAGAAAATATGTTTTTATTAGGAGAGAGCTGATCATGTGAGATAGCTTTCTACTTGAAAAGTTTTCACTTCTCATTCTCTTTATGCCAGTCATTACACTCCTCCTTTGTTCTTTTTTTCAGGTCCTATTTGTTATGACTCGTTATCAGTCACATATTTGGATTTCTTGAAGTGGCTCCTGGTGTCTAACTTATCAACTACCCAACGGCTGTCTTTTGTAGTAAAATACGACACTACCAAGTTCCCACAATTCAACATTGCACCGCGCAAAACTTTTTAAGAACAAACGTTTATTTATTTAGGCAAACACTGTCCATTGGGTTTACATGTTACTCGGTTGTTCTTCTTTTATCCACCTATCCACCTTGTTTTGTGAAAACTGCGTATATAATGAATTAATAAAATTAAAAACATTTGGCACACTGTTTTGTATGAGTTCTGTCTCGTCAAAGTTCGATGTGAGCACCTTCCTTCTACTTAGGACACTAATTTCATTTAATATACTTTCATAACGGAAATGGAACGGGCGTGGCCTAGTAGTAATTGTGTCTGACAACGGATCAAATATTCAAGGTTCGAAACATAATAGTACAGAACATTCTCGTTATTCGGTCCAATTCATAACAGAAACAAATCTAAATATTAAACAAACGTTTTAGGCTAGAATGTTTCTATTTCTTTAACAAAATATTTTATATGATACGGAAAGTGACTTACTAAGTTCTAAATTATCCTCCATTTCTAAGTAGTTTTTCCCAGAAGTACAAGCTTCTATTTTAGTATCTAGGAACATTAATGGTTTTAAGCTGTGCATTTAACAAGATTTTTCTTGACTTATAGTACTTTATACTTCATATGTACTGGACTGATAATACGGATGTTTTTAACAGTACACGAGGCGAACAATGTTACTTTCAATAATAGTACTGAGTAGAATGTTTAATATACCTATATTTATGTTTTATTATTGTGTTATACTTATATTATAGATATTATTTTGTACTGTTAACTTTTCATATGGAGTTAGCATTAATCTAAATCTCCTAAGCTGACCGATCATCATGAGATATTGTATTTACGACCAAATATATCGTTAACATCGAGGATACCTAACTAATGAAACAATGTATTATAATTTTAATAAGGAAGGACGTAACAACAGTATATTTAATGAGTTATAATGATTACCGTGTTGGTTTCTAGTTTTGATCTTAGTAGGTAGTTTGATTATGAACATAATTTAATATTAATAACTTCGAGAAATAAATATTTTAAAGATCAATTGGGTAACAAAAACAACTAATCCTTGAAATACGGACGGGATCTATAGCTTCCAAATTATTTATACACCAAATTACTTGTGGGCTAATAGCTTCCAAACTATTTATACACCAAACTGCTTGTGGGTTTATAGATTCCAAATTAGTTATACACCAAATTCCTTGTGAGTTTATAGATTCCAAATTATTTATACACCAAATTGCTTGTGAGTTTATAGATTCCAAATTAGTTATACACCAAATTCCTTGTGAGTTTATAGATTCCAAATTATTTATACATCAATCTGCTTATGGGTTTATAGCTTCCAAATTATTTATACACCAAACTGTTTGTGGGTTTATAGCTTCCAAATTATTTATACACCAAATTGCTTCTGGATCTATATGACTTTGTTCTTTTTTACAGAATCCATATTAGCGTTCGAGTTGCACACAAAATGTAAACAAAAACATCCCTAATAAGATACAAGACATAAAAAAAATGAAAAGAAAAATACCTTTGGAATAATTACAGATGGAGTTTCTTATTTATTTTATTTCAACAATCAATTATTTCGCCAACTGTTTTTAACCAGTTTATTGCAGTGAGTATTGTAACATATAAAAACAACATTTTATATGATATTGTTACCAATTGGTATTGAAAGGTAGAAAAATTAAATGATAATCTGAGGGTTAAATAAAACTTCTTAGTAAAGTTATTAATGTAACAATATCATAAAGAGAGCTAATACTAAATCGTTTTGCGCTGAAAACTTCCAAGCTAAAATGTTATATTCTTCTTTTTTTCAAGTATCTTAGGCCTGGTGTGGCCAAGTAGATATCTTGCCCAGACTGTGAATCAGTGTGTCCGACTTCGCGGCCCGTTGGCACAGAAACGTGCTCAGCATTTAGAATTATGAGTGCGATGTAAGAATGACGGCCAAATAACATTACTGTGTTAAATAAGAGTTGGCGGTGGGTGCTGTTGTTGTTGAATCGCTGCTTTCACTCTAGTATATCGGTTAAAAATTAGACAGATAACCTCTTGTATAGGTTTCAGCAAACGTACTGAAACTAACAAACCAAGTACACGTTGTCTCCAGAAAATTCTCCTTAAAGAGACAATGTTGTCTATCTTTGTGTACAAAACAAGCTTAACATCAGTTTCCTGAAGTTAACATTTAAATAAAACATAATTATAGATACTTATACCGCACATTAGAGGCTGTTTCATACAAAATAAAGCATATTTATATATATTTGTACCGTACATTAGATGCTGTTTGATACAAAATAAAACATATTTGTAGATGTTTTTACCGTACAT